AAAAAAAAAAAAAAAAAAAAACATAAAAAAAAGCATCTACTATCTGCCAAGTCTAAGCATTGGCGATTATCGTGGTCCGGTGTTCTGAGGGAGACAGATACTAAAGGTAAATGGAGGGGGTGCAGCGGAAAGGGGGCCGCCCCTCCCCATTTGTAGATGCTTCTGGGTCGGGGTTTTGTACAGAGCAGAGCTGCTTCCTCATTGGGATCCACTGAAAGTCCGTCCTCAACACAAGGGTTGGTAAAAAGAAAAAAAAAGAAAAAAAAGAGAAAAAAATAGAGGGAAAAAGAAAACACACACACACACACACACACACACACACACCAAAAAAAAAAAAAAAAAAAAAAAAAAAAAAGAAAGAAAAGAAAAGAAAAAAAGAAAAGAAAAAAGAAAAAAAAAGAAGTAAATATAATAATTCATGCGTCCACTGGGGACCGGTGTGTCAGGGAAGGAGGAGGTGGGGCGGGGGTTAGCGTTGAACAGCTGAGTGGTCGCAAAGCCCCCTCGGTGACACGGAGACATGTGGAGAGAGGAGGCGGGCCATGTGAGCTGTGGGAATCTTCCGGGCAGAAGGAACGGCACCAGCAAGGGCCCTGGGGCAGGGGCCTGTGAGGGACGGCAGGGAGGCCGGGGGGCTGGAGGCACCGTCATGGGCCTGAGGTCCGTGTGATTTCACATGTGTAAGATGACCTGATAACCCGTGGACTATCTCTAGGACATCAGCCGGGCGTCCCTGTAGGACCTCCAGCCTGGAGAACAGCATCTGGCCTGGGCCAGGCCACCCAAATATCAGTCTTATGAATCAGAGTATGGGCAGGGATTAGTATTCATGTGCAAAAAAAAAAAAAAAAAAAAAGGAGCCCAGTCTCAAACTATGCACAAAAAATCAATGTCAATACTGAGGTTGCGGGTTTGATCCCCGGTTTGGGTGCATGCGGGAGGCAGTGGCTCAGTGTTTTGCTTCTCTCTCTACCGTGTCCTCTCTCCCTAAAAATCAATGAACGTATCCTTGGATGAGGGGGGGGAGGGTGTGGAAGTAAAAGCCTAAAACATTCAACAGAAGTAAAAATAACTTCCGTTCATCAGAGGACCATTTAAAGAGTGAGAAGAAAGCAAACAGCAGAAGGTGCATCTGCCAGCCTGTCATTGACAAAGGGCTACTGGGGGAACTCCAGCAGATCAATGGGACAGCCGGGTGGGCAAACGGCAGAGCCCGATCGGCAGCGCCCACCGGAGGGGAAGCCCACACGGCAGCAACCCAGGCAAGTGCACCTCCCGCCGCCAGCCAGCCAGCCAGCCAGCCAGCCGTGCCTGGCAGTGCCAGGCTTTGGGAGGCAGGAGCTCCGGGTGCTGCTGAGAGGGGGGCGGGCAGGAGCACCCGGGAGAGTGTGGCCTTATCGCCTAAAGCTGCCCTGTGCCCCCACCCTTCTGCCCCGGGGTACGCCCCAGATCTGTGTTCCCCAGACCACCTGGACGGGAGCTGCATTCTCAATGGTGCGGGCTGGAAGCTGCCCGGACACCCATCAATGAATAAATACAATGAAATGACTCCACTCACACACGCCGCTCCCCAAGGCAGCCATCAACAGCAGCTCCCCGCATCACCCAGGGCTCTTGCGAATAAGACATTTGGAGGGGGGGGGGTGCCTGAATACCGCGGTGGGAAGGCCGGTCCAGGCTGGGGAACAAATGCCGGGCGGGTGGCCTCTCCTAGGTGGCCGGACCGGGGAGAAGACAGGACGGGTAACAGGGAGCGAGGGCGCCTGGGACCTCAGGGGCGCTGGAGGGGGGCGGGACGAGGGCAGGGTCTGGGAGGCTGGCAGCGGTCCTCTTAACCCCTGGGTGTGATCACCCCAAACTTCACGGGTCTTGGTGGCTTTTTCTGGGAGCTTTTCACAGTGCACAATTTTGGGGAAATTCCGTGTTGGGGGCCGGGGGAGGATTCATGGGGGGGAACGGTTCTGGGTCTCCCGCACACATTCTGAGTCGGTGGACCGCTCTCCTCCAGGACAGAGGAGGGGGGGACTGAGCTCCCGCAGACGGTGGCCCCGGGGGAAGGGGGCAGGGGGAGGGGGCAGAGGGACCCGGTGCAGAGGAAGGCAGAGGAGGGGATTAACTTGGGGATTATAGGGGCGCAGCTGGCGGCTGGGACTTGCTAATATCTGCAAATACAGGAGTGGCGCTGGAGGAGTTTTCCAGCAGCCAGAGGTAGGGGAGCTGAGGGAGGGAGGGAGGGAGGGAGGGAGGGGCAGGGAGCGGGCCGTGGGCTAGAGCCGCGGTCGCCAGCCGGTGGTCTGCCCGGACCACTCCCGTGAGGTCCGAAAGGTTGGTGACCGCTGGGCTGGAGCACAGGTGGCCAGACCTGGAGGAGCCCTACTGTGTGCTAGCCCTTGCAAGGTCCCGGGACTGGAGAAATGGAAGCCAGACCCAGCCTGTGGCTGCCATGGGGTGGGCAGAGGACGCCGCAGGGAGCAAGGGGTGCCCTGGGGACGCCCCTCCACCCTCCCGTCTCCCTGAACACATCTTCGCTCCTCTTGGGAGCCCCATCCTGTCTGTCCTTGCAAACTCCGATGCTTCCTTCAATTCTGGGCTCAAGTGTCCTTGCTGCCAGGAAGCCCGCCTTGATTCACAAGCCAGAGTCCCCAGCCCGGGACCCCGGGGAGGGTGTGTCCCGCTCTGGAAGGCTCGCCTGGGTCTTTCTGGGTCTCAGGGGAAACGTGGTTCACAGGGGGGGGGGGCGCGGAATGAGCCCAGCTAGGCATGAGGGGCAAGAGGGTCCAGCTGAAGGGACCCTGGAGGGTCCCGTGCCCGGGTCTGCCTCCCGCCCCTGGACTGCGGTTTCTGGAGATGGCCGGCCAGAACTGGGGTCTGAATGGAGAGGGCAGGCCGTTTGCCCCAGCCACCCACCTCCCCCCCCCCCGCCCCCTCCCCGCTCCTGGGAGGGTTCAGTAAACGCTATTTGAATGAGCAAAAGGCAGAGCTGCATGAAGATGGCAGCTTCTCTGGGGCTCCGAGGGGGGGCTCCGGGGTGGGGCGGGGGGCGTAGTCAGGGGGTCTGGGCTGAGGGGCTGGGGCGAGAGAGCCCAGCTGTGTCCCTGCCCACCGAGGGGGCTGCCGAGGGTCCCGATGGCATTAGCCCCTTTGCAAAGCACCTGCCCTCTCCATGCAGACCCCAGTCCCAGCCGGGATCTACAGAAACCGCAGTCCGGGGGCAGAGGCACTGGACCCTCCAGGATGCCCTCAGGGGACCACCAACGCCTCTCCTGCCCAGGGAGCCCCGGCCCTGCGGTTCTGATGCCCCCAGCGAACCTCTGCGGGGGGGGGGGGGGGGGGGGCGCGGAGGCGGGGGAGGCACGGCAGGGGGCGCTGCCAGGTCCCGGGGAGGGGGTGTTTGTACAGTAGCTCATGTCATCCTCCCGTCAGTCCTGCATGGGGTGGGGAGGGGGGGTGACTAGGACAACTGCTTTACAGATGGGGAAACTGAGGCTGGGCTATATCTCTGTTCCTGTTACCCAGAAAGCAAGGGTGGGTGCTCAAGAGCCTTGATGGGCATGGAGAGGGAGGGAGAGAGAGAGAACCCTAGCGCCCCCGCCCCCAGGCTACAGCAGCCATGCTGGGCACCGCCCGCTGCCCCCCACCCCCGCCGCCCCCCGCCCCGCTGCCCCCCCCACCCCCGGTGTCCAATGAATGCTATCCTTTGCTCAAGTCCCAGCGGTCCCTTTCCCCATATGGACCCCAACCCTGGTGGTGGTGGTGGGGAGGGATTGGTGAGATGACAGCCAATGTGGGGTACCTGGAAGATCCCTGGCTTGAGCTCCTCTTTCTACCCATAGCCAGGGATGTGGATGATGGGGCTTCACGAGCCCGGCTGGACCTTGGCCAAGACAGGATGGACCTGTCTGACAGACACCAATCAGGCTTCCGACCTCACAGAGGGACCCCTCCTCCCAGCCCAGGACGAGTGGGTCCCTGCCCCGGGGGACCCCCGAGGAGGGTGGGGGCGGGGGGGGGCTGTGTTGCACTCCAGCTCCGCGGCCAGGAGATGGCCCTGCTCTCTGTCCAGTCGGGGTGCCCTGCGTGCCACCACCTGTCCCCCGTCACCCACAGTCACCTGGGAGCCCTGGCCCCTCTGCCCACAGACCCAGAGACCCGCCCTGGCACAAGCCCAGGCTCTCCGGGGTCCCTGCCCCTTGGGAATGGGGGGCACCGGGTACCAAACGTCTCCTCCAGGGATGCCCATCTGGCCTGGGGGGGAGGGGGGACAGACCCCCGGCCCCCCCGCCGGGCTGATGGCGCTGAAACCCGGTGGCCGGAGCTGGGTCAGCTGCCCACACAGCGCCGCGGCTCGGGCTCCAGAAGGAAAACGCAGGAGGGCTGCTCCCCAAGTGGGGGGGTCCGGAGGCCCCGGGAGGCCCGGAGGAGTCATGAATATGCAGAGCGGCTGGTCCCGCGGCCGGAAGGGAGCGGGGAGCGCGCGGCTCCAAGTTAGCGCCCGCGGCGGCGGCGGCGGCGGTGGCGGCGGCGGCGGGGACGCTAACGGGGCGCTACCCGGGCGCCGCGGCCGTCGCGGGACCCCCCCAAAATGGCTCCAAGCCCCGGCTCCCGTGGTCAGCGGCGAGGGCTCCGTCCTCCGTCCCCGACCCCGTCCCCACGGGGCGTAAACTTAAACGCTGAGACCCGGGCAGCTGTCCGCGTGGCGTGGGGGGCCCGCCGGCGCCGGGACCCGCGTGTCCCGGCGGGAGCGGCAGCCCGGGCTCCCGGGGGACCATGCAGGATGCGGGTGGGGCGCGCGGGGCCGCGGAGGCCGCCCGGCCCCGGGGCGCACCCCGCCTCCCCGCCGCAGCGGCCGGGGTCCCGCCGAGGAGCCCCCCGCGGGGCGCCCCGTGTCCTCGCCGCGCACACACGCACCGCCCCGCGCCCCGGCCTGCGGGCGCCCCGGGGAGCGCTCCGGCCCCGGCCCCCCCTCCCACCGCCCCCCCCCCCCGCCTGCGCCCACTCACCGGAGTTTGTCCATGTCTGCGGCCGAGGCCTGCGGGGAACCAGAGAGAGGTCAGCGCGGGCGGCGTGCGCCCCTGGCACCGGCGGGCGCGGCGGAGGGGCACCGCGCGCGAGGCTGGCTCGGCGGGCGGGAAGCCCGGCCCGTGCGCCCCCGGCCCGGTCCTTCCTTACCGGCTGCGGCGCCGGGGACTCCGAGGGCGCGCGGGGCGCCCGCCGAGTAACAGGTGCTCCCGGCTGGGCCGCCGCGCTACCCGGCGCGGAGGTCCGGCCCCCGGGCGCCCCGGGGCGCCGGCCCGGGGACCCGGGGTCGCACCCTCCGCGGAGGCATGATGCGACCCGGAGCGCTCCCGAGCTCGGCGGAGAGATGGGGGATCCAAGTCGGACCCGTTCAGATAAAGTGGCCGCGGCCCCCGCCGCTCGCTCGCGTCCCCCCACCCCCCGCCCCGCCCGCCCGTTAACCCTCCCGGCCCCGCGCTCCTCCCATCCCGAGCCCGCAGCTCAGCATCCCGCCGGGGAGCGTCCCGGTCCGCAAACTGGGAGCCATCCCGGACTGCAGCGCCCGGCGCTCGCAGGATCCGAGCGGGGGGTGGCCCTGGGGACCCCGACCCCTGCACCCGGGCCCCCGCTGCCCCCCCGATGCGGAGGCTCCGGGCCTGGCCCGCCCCTCCCGGCCCCGGGGGTTAACCATTGCGCGGCCGACTCACCCGCGGGGCTCCCTGCAGGACTGGCGCAGACCCGCGGGCGGGCGGCTTGGGGGACCCTCCCCCCGCACCCCCGCCGCCGCCGGGCAGCCCCTCCGCGCGGGGCGGCGGTGCCCGCCGGTGGCCGTGGGCGAGCGGCCCGGGCGGGATCGCACTTCCTGCGCCAGGCGGGGGGCGCGGGGCCGTCTCTCCATCACTCGGGAGAGGCCGCTCCCGGGGGCTTCCCCCCGGCTCCCCGCGCCATGGCTGGCACCGAGAGGGGCCGGGGGCTGCGCCCGGGGCCCGCGCGGCGCACCTGGGAGGGCTGATTGCTGCCCATCCCGGCCCCTGCGCCGCGTCCGCCCGCCGGGAGCGCGCTCCTCCGGCCCGGGCCCGCCGCCTCCCCCGCCGCCCGCCGCCCCGCCGAGGGAGGGCGCAGCGGCTGTCAGCGCCGAGCGGGAGCTGGGCCCGGGCCTCGGCCAGGATGGGCCACCCACCCGCCCCCGGGGGCCCAGGCAGGCCTTCCCGGACTCCCGGGCCTCAGTTTCCTCACCTGCCAGCTGTGGTGGGGAACAAGGGAGAGTGGACAAAGCTCTCTGTGCCCGTGGGCCCCGCGGGCTGCCAAGGGGCTGGGCTGGGCTGGGGGGCAATCAGAGACACAGGACCCACGAGGGGCCCCTGGCCGGCAGCTGGAGGCAGTGTGCCACCCTCTGAAAGTTGTCTGGGATGGAGAGCCGGGACCCTCTCCGTGTGCATACCCCCACACAGTGCTGGTGCTTAGCCCACTCCTCCCCAGCCCCCCAGGCCCCCATCCCCTCATTCCTCCAGGCCCCCTGCCCCCCAGGCCCTCCATTCCCCCAGGCCCCCTGCCCCCCAGGCCCACCAGCCCCCCAGACCCTCCAGGCCCCCAGGCCCTCAGGCCCCCCTGCCCCCCAGGTCCACCAGCCCCCCAGACCCTCCAGGCCCCCTAGGCCCCAGGACCCAGGCCCCCCAGACCCCAAGGCCCCCCTGCCCCCCAGGTCCACCAGCCCCCCAGGACCCCCAGGATCCCTGCCCCCCAGGCTCACCAGCCCCCCAGGCCCCCTGCCCCCCAGGTCCACCAGTCCCCCAGACCCTCCAGGCCCCTGCCCCCCAGGCTCCCCTGCCCCCCAGGCCACCAGGCCCCCAGACCCTCCAGGCCCCAGACCCCCAGGTCCACCAGCCCCCTGGACCCTCCAAGCCCCCTAGGTCCCAGGCCCCCAGGCCCCCCAGACCCCAAGGCCCCCCTGCCCCCCAGGTCCACCAGCCCCCCAGGACCCCCAGGATCCCTGCCCCCCAGGCTCACCAGCCCCCCAGGCCCCCTGCCCCCCAGGTCCACCAGTCCCCCAGACCCTCCAGGCCCCAGACCCCCAGGTCCACCAGCCCCCTGGACCCTCCAAGCCCCCTAGGTCCCAGGCCCCCAGGCCCCTCAGACCCCAAGGCTCCTCTGCTCCCCAGGCCCCCCAGCCCCCCAGCCCCTCCTGCCCCCCAGGCCACCAGGCCCCCAGACCTTCCAGACCCCCTAAGTCCCAGACCCCCCAAACCCCCCAGTCCCCCTGCCCCCAGGTCCACCAGCCCCCCAGACCCTCCAGGCCCCCCAGCCTCCCAGCCCCTCCTGCCCCTCGGGCCACCAGGCCCCCCAGCCCCCCAGGCCCCCCAGCCCCCCAGGCCCACCTGCCCCATGTCCACATCACCATGCTCAGCTCCCCGGGTCCCAGCGTGCAGCCGGCACGCCAGAAAAGCGGGAAAGGCATGCCTAGATGCCACAGCACCATGGCCTGTCTCTGCCTGCCGCTTCCCTTCAGGTTGAGTTCCCGGAAGGAGTCCTGTCCTTTCTCCAGTCCCCTCCTCCCCCCCTCCCCCCAAGCGCCCAGCGGGCCTGGCCTCCCCCTAGCCAGCACGCAGGGTGGGAGGAGCTGAGGGATCCCGAGTCAGCCCCAACCAAGTTCAGGCCCAAACCAAGTTCAAGGGCTCCTTCCTCCACCCCAGGGAGGGATCCTCACTCATGCTTCAGCCCTGGATGAAGTTCTTGGGGTTGGGAGCAGGCAGCAAAGGAGGGGAGCCCTGTCCTGAGACCCATGATTGAGGAATGAAACTCCACAGTCAGCAGAATGGCAATCATCATCACCATCACAACGATAATAACAAGCCCCGCCCGCACCGGCAGTGAGCGCACAGCACTGTCCTGTGCCCCCAGGGCAGCGGCCATCCCTCCTGCGGGAGAGGAGAGCACACGGAGAGGAGCCCACCCAGCTGGCCTGGGCCCCGGCCCGAGGCCTCTCCCACCCACAGGCTGGGGACATCCTTCACGTCTCCAGTTGCCTCCATCATTCACAGGGAATGACCTGCCAGGGAGTTTGTCTAAAATTAATAAGAATGTATTAAAATTTAATTTAAGAAATCTAGCATCAATTATTTATATGGAGTATTTCAGCTCTTCCAAAGGGCCTATCTGGGAATCTCCCCCCAAGAAGGGCTGTGAGAGGCCTGGTGGCAAGGGGCTGGGGTGGGGGTGGGGCAGGATGGGCAATGAGAAAGGGCCCGAGGTCCCGCCTTGGCACCGTGGCAGCCCCTCCCTCACTCTGGATGCTGACCTCTCAGGTTCTGCCCAAACCCAGGGCCTGTGGGGAATCACTGCCCTCACTCTTAAAAGCCACCTCCTCCAGGCAGCCCTCCAGGAGACCCAGTGGGGTTGTTGGGTTAAAGCCCCATGTGCACTCCCTGGGGCAGGGCCTGTCTTCCCCCATGTGTCCAGGGCTGGCTCAGTACCTCACCCAGGGGGTTGGGGAGCGTACATAAAGCTCCGGATGTGTGTGTGCTGATGAGCAGTGTGGTTGCGTGTGTGTGTGTGTGTGTGTGTGTGTGTGTGTATGTGTGTGTGTGAGTGTTTGTGTGTGTGGGAAACAGCCTTCTGGGGGAGGTGCTGTGCCTTGGGCAATGGTCTTGGTGTTGGGGCCAAAGCCCCACATTCAAGTCTCAACTCTGCAGTTCATAAACCAAAAGACCGGGGGATGTTCCCGAGATGCCCTTTGTATGGCTGAGGAACCAAGGCCAGACCGTGGAGTGCCTGGTTCAAGGTCCCCTGAGGCTAGCTGAGGGCTGCCTGTGGGCTGAGCAGAGACCGGGACTTTGCCTGGGCCTACGCCACTCCAGGGGGAGGGCAGGAGGGGGGGGGGGACCATGTGTACAAGGGGCCTGTGGGATGGCCAGGGTCTTCAGGGTGAGATGATGGGGCAGGATCCCCTGCAGGACCCCAAGAAAGTGTCCCCTGCAGGACCCCAAGAAAGTGGGATCCAGTGCTCTCCTGGCTCAGGGAGGGTGCACTCAGGGGGACAGTCCATCCGGCTTTGGGTGCTGCCCCTCCAGTCTACCCGTAGTCCTAGCCCGAGGCCTATTCCTGCAACACACCTATGACCTCATCGCCGTCTGCCCTAACCCCACCCCTTCCCCCTCTGGGTGATCCAGCCCCTCTGGGGGGTCCGAACCAGCGATCACCATGGTTTCCCAGCATCATCCGAGTCCTGCTATCCCCTCCCTCACTGTCTTTGCCCGTGCTGGTCCCCTCCTCCTGAGGCCTTCCTGCCCCCCCCCCCCCACACACACACCCTGAGATCCACTCTCAGCATCCAGTCACACCGCTTCCCTCTGGCAGCCTGCTTCCTCCCTTATTCCCTGCACAACTTCGGAGCGACAGGAGGGCCCACCCGGGTCAGAAACAGGCCCATCGTGCTTCGTCCACCTGTGCTCCTCCCGCCCAGCCTTTGAGCCAGTTACGGAACTCTTAAAAGCCACCTCCTCCAGGCAGCCCTCCAGGAGACCCAGGGGGTTGTTGGGTTAAAGCCCCCACACCACATGTGCACCCCCTGGGGTAGGGCCTGTTTTTCCCCATGTGTCCAGGGCTGGCTCAGCACCTCGATCCCATTTAATTCTCTCTGAGGCTTTGTGAGATGGGTCTTATGTCCCCATTTTACAGATGCAAAAACAGAGGCTCCACGAGGCAATCCCCTACAGCTCTCATGCAGCAGTGTGATTTGGGGCCAGGGCCTTGTGCCTCCTCCCCAGGGCACCTGGGCTCTGTGACTGATGCACACTGTAGGCACGCCCCAGAGGCGACACAGGGTGGCAACTCCGTGGCACCAGTCAGGCCTCAGGGAGGGGACGGTGAATCCGGACTCAGCCCCTCTTGGCACACACTGGCCACCTCGCTGGTCCCAAGCTCGCCCAGCTCAATCCTGCCCCAGGGCCTTTGCACGGCCGGGCCTTCCTTCTCTGACCAGTCCTCTGAGGTAGCCCCACCCCCGCCAAGCGACTTCTCATCACATCCTGTCTCTGGTCATTGGCCTGTCCCCGTCCTGATCCCACCCCAGCACTACAGAGGACCCCCAACAGCCACTCTGTCTGTCCTCGGGACCTGGCAGGCAGTGGGTGATGGCTGAGTGAACGCAGGTGCTCTGAATCGGGTCCAAGCATTCATTATCCTGTGGGTGACTCTTCTGCACCCAGGCATCTGGCTGGGGAGCCGTGCTACACTCCCAGCCCCGTCCCACACCCTGTTCCCAACTCAGCCCCTGCTCCCCTCTGACTGGGTGCTCCCCAGACTCACGAGGCACCCCACCTTGGGGTACCCAGTGCCCTGCCCGGGGAGCCCCTCTGTGGGTGTGGGGTCTACTGAGCCATCTCCTGTGCAGCTGTGCGGCCTCAGGGAGCTCTCAGCCTCTCTGAGCTCCGTCCCTCGCCCAGAAGGACGGCACCCGTTCACAGGCCACTGTGAGGGACCAGGCGGGCATGTCTGTGATGGGCGAGGTCAGGAACAGGCTTTACAGGACAGAGGTTGCTCCGAGAGCCAGCCTCCTCCGTTAACCACCTGGACAGACAGCTCCTAAGGTGCTCACACAGCTCCTTGCCTTCCCCGTTCACCCGGCAAACATTGCTGTGCGCCCGCCTGCTGTGTGCAGGGGGCAGCCGGGGAGGCCCTCTGTGTTCACGGTGCCGGCGTTCTGCAGGGAGAGACAGACACAGGGGACCCCGGTGTGGCGTCCCTCCGGCCCAGGTGTCTGCTGGGAGAACCTGCAGAGAGTGAGGGAGGGTGGGGGCCGCTGGCCGCTACCAGCAGGTGATCAGGATGAAATGAGAGCAAAGCCTGGGGCGCTGGCGGGAGGGCAGGCCCTGGGGGTAGGGTGCCTCGGGCATTTGGGGAGTACCCGGTCACCAGGGGGGGTGGCAGGGGCTGAGTTGGGGCTCCTCAGGCACCTTGGCTTCTATCTTGAGTGGATCGGAAGTCCCCGCAAGGACCAGCAGAGGCATATGCGGCACGCTGCTGAGTGGAGGACACCCCGAGGGGCCACGAGGGGCCCTCCCACCGGAAGTGCCTGCGCAGGTCCAGGCGCGTGGGAACAGGGTGGGGGTGGGGATACCCTGACTGACGGACTGGGTGAGAAGAGCCATCCACAGGATAATGAGTGCTGGGACCCGGCTGCTGGGAGGGGGTGAGAGGAGGGGGCTCAGGCCCAGAGGTGTCTGTCACATGTCCCACAGGGACATCGACAAGGGTGGGTGCCTGGGTTTGCATGCAGAGGTGGGTCCAGAGATGAATCTGGGAGTGGTCAGCAGAGGGACAGCACGGAAAGCCACCACGTGGGTGAGCCCGCCACGGGAGGGGTCAAGGTTCAGGGAGGGGGCAGAGCAGCCACAGAGACCAGGGAGACCAGGGAGACCAGGGAGACAGGGAGGCAGGGAGGCAGGAGGAGAGCAGGTGCGTCCAGGGGAAGGGGGGACCCTCGGTGTCACAGACTGTCATGGGTGAGAGGCAGGCCTCGGGTCCCAGAGCACCAGCCACAGGGCTAGCGTGGGCTGGACACACAGTGGGACCCCCCCCCCCCCCCCCGAGCTACAGGCCGTGGTTGGCTGCGGGGCTCCCTGCAGGTGACCAGCGGGAGGGGGCCGGCCCTGGCCCAATGTCAGGTTTGGGTACCCGAACCCAGACCCTGGTCTGAGGAGTGCCCCTGGGCCACTCCCTGCCCGTGGCTCTCCGTGGCCTCTGCAGGTCCCGGCTGTGTGTGGCTGCCGGCGGGCTAGTTCGGCGGCTGCAAACTGGCCCCCGGTGCTGAATCTGGCCCGCCAGCATGTTGGATTTGGCCTGGAAGAGGGTTTTAACTTTTTTTTTTTTTTTTTTTTTTTTAAACATTGGAGCCAACATTTAAAAATTGGGAGCGTTTACACTTTAAAATCCATATTTTTGGCTTCTACTGAAATTTTGGAAGCTTCTGCCCACATTCCCGGGCGGAGGCAGTTGGGGCGCGAGGAGCAGCTCCTGCCGCAGCGACGGGAGAGGCACCATCCGCCGCCTCAGCTCGTCCTGCGGACGGGAGGCCGAGGCCCTCAGACAGGATCCAGCTGTCGCTCCGGGGACCGCCAGGCTTGGCACTGGGTCTTGTCACAAATCCCACCCTGGCTGCAGAGTCCGAGCTGCCAGCCTGCCTCTCCTTCCGGGACCCTGGCCCAGGCCTTCCCACTCCCTCCCTTCCTCTGACCCTTCTGTTCGCAGGAAATAGCTTGCCTGAGCCATTCACACTATAGTATGAATGAGCCTTGGCTCCAGGTCAGCTGGAGACCTTCTGCAGTGGCCTCCCATTTGCTGGACAGTGAAGTGGGCGGGGGGGGGGTGGCGGGCACCAGGGTCACCCATGGCCACTCAGCCACACGGGCAGAGACAGGACGGAAATCCTTCTCAGGATTTCGGGGTGAGACCGGGAGCCAGGAGTCTGCCCTGCTTCCCAAGGCTTCCCTTGCTCCCTGGGAACTATTCCGGGGACACGGGCTTGTCCAGGCCGGAAGTACATGGAGAGGGGCCAACTCCATCTTCATTGACAGCATCGTCCAGAGACTGAATCCCTACCGTGTGCCAGGCACCTTCAGCCTTCACCGGTGCCCTCTAACCTCCCCCCCATGGGACGGGGAGGGACAGGTGCTTGCCTGGCTTCACTGAGCCTCAGTCCCTGGTCTGTAAAATGGGCCTGCCCCCCCCCCCCCCCCCCTCTCTCTCTCTCTCTCTCTCTCGGTATTTGAAATGAAGCTGGAGCTGAGGGAGTCCACAGTAGGCGCCTACCCTGTGATGTGGCCCGGGGGCGGGGGTGGGGTGGGTTTGGGGCTGTCACCCCTTGGGAAGGACACTCCTGCGCCCCCCCCCCCCAGCATGAGCGCCCAGGCCCAGCGTCCCCATCCCCAGAGTTCACAGAACACGGAGCGGCGAGAGGGTGGGGTCCCAGACCGCCAGGCCCTCATGCGGGAGGCAGCGGATACGATGCTTCCTGGGAGGCAGCACCATACGATGCTGCCGCATGTTCGCTCTGTGACAAGGCCCTTCTGCTTCCTCCTCACCCCTGGGGAACGGGGCCCAGAGCGGGTGGGCGATCTGTCTGAGATCACACAGCGCCCAGCAGACCCTGGAGCTGAGCGCTCCGGGGGTGCTCTGAGGCTTGGGAGTCAGGACGCTAGCCAACTGTCCGCAGGTTCCAGCTGTCACTCTCACCCAGGCTTTTGTTTTTAAAAGCAAAACCTACCCACCGGGCACCTTCTGGGAGGGCCTGGTCGCCATCGCCACCAACCTGGCCCTGGGACCCCCACTCAGCTCTGTGCTGGGAGAAGTTGGGAAGGAAGTATGGGGACAGGGGCAATGTCATGGACAGCCCACGAGGACCCCAGCCTGGCCCCAGGGGACACGGAGGTTCTAGGGGCTAGAAGGCCGGTGCCAAGGCTGGGGTACCATGCACGCAGGGTGTGGCCGTCCTCACGCCCGGCAGGCCTCTCTCCCCAGGACACCTGAGGCCTGGCTGAGTCTCTCTGCCCATCTGTTGAGCCCCGGGTGTGTGGCAGGGGGTGCCGAGGTGCTGAGAGACCCCGGTCCGAACCCAGACTCCCCAGGGCTCAGTTTTAAACCCTGTGACGGGGGGACACTGGCCGCCTCGTTGCCTGCCGGCTCGGTGACATCCTGCCGCACGCGGAGGTGTCTGCGGCTCAGGCTCCCCGAGAGCTAATATGAAACCCCGCGCTGGCTCTCCCCGGGCCCTGGCAGTGCGAGCCGATGTTATTGCCGCCGCTGCTCGGCACACGCAGTCCTGCTCGCCCCGAAGCCAGAATGTCACCTTCGAGATCCATTCTTTTGGTGCTCAGGGCTCTCCCGTGGCAGGGATGATGGAAGGGGTGTGGTGCCAGGCCCGGGACTGGGGGGACAGGGGGAGGGGGGATGGCAGGGGGAGGGGCAGGGAAGGGGCCTCAGCGCACTCTGGCCAGCTGCTTGCTGAGGACGATCTGGGGCTGAGACTCACCGGGCTCGGAGGCTGCCAGGGGGAGGCAGCCAGGACTCCCTGCTCGCCGCTGCCCACGTGAGTCCCGCCGGTCTCCACCGCCGGGCTGGACCGCGGGCTGCCTGCAGCCTCGGCCGGCACCTCTGAGGACGGCTGGGGGCTCGGGGCCGGGGCCGTCTTTGGGGCTGCGGCTCCTGGGAGGGGCTCCTGGGCGAAGCCTGGGCCTTGCTCGCCAGGGGAGGGCTCTGGGCTGCGGCCTCGGGGCCCCCAGAAGGACTCCAGGGTCCCGGGGTCCAGCACCTGCACCGTGACCTCATCCAGGAACCTAGAAAAAGGCAGCCTGGCCTTCCGGCGGCGGCTCAGGCGGGCGAGGGGGCCGCTGGCGGGCTCGCAGCCGGTGCTCGGGGGCTTGGAGGCACCCGACTGGCCAGGTGGCGCCCGTGTCTCCTCCCGGCCGGGTGCCCAGCTGGGGCCAGGCATCTGGTCCTCACGGTTTCCAGCTGGGCTAGGTCTGTGGCTTGGAGGGTCCTCTCTGCACGCCCCCTTCCTGGGGGCCTGGGCGCTGGACTCTGTGAGGGAGCCATGGCCGTCCGGTCTGCGGCTGCCAGGGTCAGGGCTCTGGGCCTGGGAGCTGGTCCCCGACAGCATCTTCCTTCGTCAAGCCTCTGCCGATGCCTCCCTGACCCCCTTCTCTCCTCCCTCTGGCCATGCCAGCCCTCACAGGGCAGAGTGACCGGCCGGTGCCCGCCTGCCCATCGACCCACAGAGCACGTGGCAGGAGAGCCTCCCGCCCCCTAAATTGATTCTCACCAAACGGGAGCGGGGCTCGGGGCTTGGAAAGTGGCGGAGAGGACAAGGTCGCGTCCTGAGCTCGGCGCCCGCCCGGGGAGGCAGCCTGCGCTCACTGAGCACCTGCTCTGTGCGGGGAGCGGCCCGAGTTGGGCCTCAGGCACCCCAGGGTCTCCTGGTCTCCCCTGCCGGGTGCGGGGATGGGCCCAGGGACAGCGTGAAGGCAGGGCCTGGAGGAGGGAGGCTGTGGAGAACTGCTGGTTGCCATCCTTCCTTAGGAAAGAGGCCTCATTTCCTTCTGGAAGGCAAGTCACCTCGCTAAAAAACTGCATTTCCCAGGCTCCTTTGCAGCCGAAGGGTAGCCAATAAGACGTCAACAGAATTTGTGTGGCATGATCTCCGGGAGAACTGTGCACAAGGCATCAGACAGCTTGCCTGTAGCCCCTTTACGCCCACTCCCCAAGCTCCTGCTTCTCCTCTGGAAGGGGGAAGTGATGGTTGGAGCCGTTACGGCTTTACGGCACCCTGAGGCAAACCTGCTCAGAAGCCATATGTAAAGATCGGAGGGGCAGAGAGACCAGAGGAACCCGGTTCCTCATGACCACTGAGTGTCACACCCGGGCTGTGCCCCAGCCCTGCCTCCGACCGTCCTTAACCTGAGAGGAGGACCCATCTTGCTTAAGCTACGGTTCTATCCCGTCTCTGTTACCAGCCGCTGTGAGCAGTTCCTTGGGAGTAAGGCAGGGATAGGTGAGGACCAGCAGCTGGTAACGCCGAGGGTAGAGCCTTCGGAACTTGGGGCCCAGGGAACGGTTAGATGGGGCTGTGAGGGAGTTAACCCAGAGCAGTGCCAGAGCCAGGCCTGGGCACTTGTTCCTTTGTGTGAAGGGAGAGGGGCCTGACTCCTGGCATCCCGGGAAGCCTGGGGTCCAGGCAGGCCTCCTTCCTGGGACCCAGCTGCATGAGCCAAAGGAAGGCTTGTAGGGAAGGGGGTGCGGGGGAGGGGAGAGGAGCAGCCCCAGACCTCAGTTGGCCAGCTGGTGGCCTCCACCATCCCTCTTGGAGCATGGCCGAGGCTTTGCTTGGTAATGCCTGCTCATGGCTGTGCTCCTGCCCCTACCCACCAGGCTGCGCCTAGACACCTTACGTCAGGTGCTAGGGACCCTTCTTTGCCGGGCTTAAAGAGAACTGCTAGTTGCCATCCTTCCTTAGGATGACCCACAGCCCCTGGAGGAATGTCTGAAAACGGCACGGATTCAGCTGTCGGAGACAGGACTGGGCGCTGCCTGGCCCCCTCCCTCTCCGTCTCCCCTGGCCCCACCCCTAACCACCAGGCCCTGGGGATTCAGCTCCCCTTCGACGTCATCACCTCCCCACATCCCCACTGCCAGCCTCGCAGGTCTCACCTGCAGTCACCCCTCCCGGGGACCCCTGACCCTCTGCTAGTCCAGCTCAGTTCATCTCTCGCGCTTACCAGTGGGAACTTTTGAAATCTTAGATCAGACCAGACGACCAGACTGTCACCCTTCACATGCTCTGCCAGGCTCTGCCGGCCCGGTGCCATCTGTCTCTGCCCTGTGCCCCCCTCTCCGCCACTCCCATCACGTTCCTGGGCCTGGACGGTGCTGAGCTCCGTCTGCCGCAGGGCCTTGGCACCTGCTGTTCCCTCTGCCAGGAGCACTCTGACTCCCTGTCTCCTCACTCTCCTCCTCACCATCTAATTCTCAGGGCCCCAGATCAATACTTGACCCCTCCCATCCCCCAGATTAGATCAGGGACCGTGGCAACAGCCTCTTTCAACCCCTGGTCTCATAACCTGGCCCCTGACTGGAGTTGATATGCCTGTGACCCTTTTGTTTATTATCTGTGTCTACTCTGGCCCAGCTGTATGCACAGGGCCCAGCACATAGTAGGTGCTCAGTAAGATGATCTTGAATGACTGTGTAAGCGAATGGATCACAGGCCCAGCACAAGCTTTCCCCAGCTGGGCATGGCCCTCAGGGAAGGGATCCCAGGCTCTTGGGAATGCCACAGTGTCCCTCCTGCCCCTGCACTCCCCTGATGGCCACCCCTTTCCACCTGGACAGCCCCCTCCGCAGCAGGAGCCATCCAGCCCCTGCTCCATCACCATGGGAACAGGACTTGGAGACAGGCAGATCCAAGGTCAGATACCCCTCCAGCATCCCAGCGGGACCCTGGACAAGTTACCTCCTCTCCTCATTGCCACATGGGGACAGAGCAATTCCCAGCCCACAGGCAGCAGTGGAAAATGGTGCGAGAGAGCACGTGCTGGGCACCTTCAGCAAGGTGCCTGGCACCCAGTAGTACCTCAGGTCAGGGCTCCTTAGCCCAAGGCTCTGCTCTGACTATTCCTTAGCATGTGTGGTCACAGGAGTGTTCTGGGGGCCTCGGCCAGCTGGTCCTCCAAGCCTCTCCCCGAGTTGCCGACTGCATCAGACAAGTTCCCGTTGTCATAACAACCCACTGGCTCTCAGCCGCCTGGGCCAGAGGCCCTGGAGGATGCTGTCGGCTGCAGCGCTCGGCAGTCTGGGCCTGCTCACCTCTTGCAGCCTGGGCTGCCTCTCTTGGCCCAGCAGCCCTGCCTCTTGACTCATCTGCTTCAGCCCCTTCCTGAGCCCTACTGTGTGCCATGATCCGCCCGCATCGTTGCCCGGATCTTCCTCCAGCCCCGGAGGTGGGGCAGCTGTGGCCTCTGTTTGTGCTAAAGTGAAGCTGAGTCTCAGGGAGGGGATGTGACTTTGCCGAGGTCACATGGTTCAGATGCAGCAAACCCGGGATGGGGACCCCACGGGTCATGCACTCACACCTGTTTCCTCCCACAGTTCCTCAGCCCCTCCGTCACCGCCTGTTCTGTCCGCTCCCCCACCCCTTTCCCCCGTGGGAGGATGAGCCCTGAGAGAGGAGGGACGCTGCTGCCATTGCCTCCTGGGGCTGGCCCGGGAAGACCTGGCCGAGATGGCACCTGGGCATCTGATGGCACCTCTAAGCCCCACCTCCTTTCATCCTCCTAACCTAATCCCTACGCTGGGGACTGCTCCTGCTTCACAGAGCGGGGCCGCGAGCTCTAAGGTTACTGCAAACAGCCAAGGCTGGCCGGATGCAGCAAACACCCTGACGCCTACTAGCCTGGCACCTAGTAGGACCTCAGGTCAGGGCTCCTTAGCACAGGGCTCTGATTGTCCATCTCTAGCACGTGGGGTCACAGGGGTGCTCTGGGGGTTCAGCCAGCACCCTCACTCATCCCTGTGCGGAAATCCCATCACTACCCCCCTTTTACAGACAAGCACACTGAGGCCTGGGAATCCCCACCACTGTGCTTTGACCCACGCTGCCTCCTCCCTTCTGGAGAGTTCCATGCTGGCCTGAGAACCCTCTAGGGGGTCACAGGCCTCCGCTGTCTCCAGTCCCCACAGCCATGCATATGCATGTGCAGCCCAGATGTTCTAGGAAGCCCCCCAGACAAGGAATTCCGTGCAGGATTCCCTGCTGGTCGCCCGTCTTTACAAGACACTGCACCTAGGGGTTATCATCCCTCAGCGAGTCTCCCAGCCCCGCCTCCCTGCTACACTATCAGGTACCGGCATCTGGGGAATAAGGATGTCTCGCTCATCCGACCAGCCATCCGTCCCTGTAACCATCCATACGCTGGCATGTTCCCATTCATGCTTCAGTGCACCCTTCCATGCCTGGACCTGCATCCATTGACATGCATTCACCCAACTACTCATCCTGTCATTCCTGTACCCATCCATCCATCCATCCACCCACCCACCACCCACCAGTCATCACTGTGTTCATCCATGAATCCATCCTGTTACTTATATCTTGTATTCATGCCTCCGCCTGTCCATCCACAGATGCATCCACCCATCATGTGTCCACTTGTGCACTGGTCACCTCCCATCCTGTGTCCGTGCAGTTAGGAACATACGAGACATTTCCTGAATGGCTCAGCGGTACAGGAGACAGGGCAGCCCCAGAACCCTGGGCTTGGTTTTTTTTCTTATATATATATATATATATATATATATATATATATATATATATATATATATATTATTGATTTTAGAGAAGAGAGAGGGAGAGAGAGAAACATCAATGATGAGAAAGAATCATTGATCAGCTGCCTCTTGCATGCCCCACGTTGGGGATTGAACCCAAAACCCAGGCCTGTGTCCTGACTGGGAATTGAACTGTGACCTCCTGGTTCATAGGTCAAGGCTCAACCATTGAGCCATGCCGGCCAGGCTGACCCTGGACTGTTTTTGATTCTGCAAAAGTGGTAGCTCATTTGAGATGCTCCGAATTTGCCGATGGTGGGCGAAACCGAGCTCTGACTAGTGTCAGGTCAGGCTGACACAGTGGGGGTGTCCTCCAAACCTCAGCGCACCAGGGGCTGACGTGAGGCACCTACTCTGTTAGGGTAGGAGTGGGGGCCCTTGCCACTCTCCACACACATTGTTCTTTTTAAAAAATATATATTTTATTGATTTTTCACAGAAAGGAAGGGAGAGGGATAGAGAGCTAGAAACATCAATGAGAGAGAATCATCAATCAGCTGCCTCCTGCACATCCCCTACCGGAGATGTGCCCGCAACCGATGTACATGCCCTTGACTGGAATCGAACCTGGGACCTTTCAGTCCGCAGACCAACGCTTTATCCACTGAGCCAAACCGGTTTTGGCTCACACACATTGTTCTTGGCAAGATGGGGAGACGGGGCCATCAGGGCTGTGTCCTGGGCCGATGACTACACAGGGAGCCAGAGGAGAAACTGTCATGGAGACTGACCACCCTCACTGTCTCCGTGGACTAGAGGAGGATTGGGTGACCCTGG